TTCCACTCTTTATCAAAAGTGTTGAGATATGAGTAAAAAAAGCCTTACCCGTCCTAGAATGGAAATGAAATCGACCTTCCTCATCTTTAATTCTATTAATGGTGTAACAGAAGAGAAGATTGACGAGATTTAAGGTTAAGCCCCTAAACCTATTCAGAGCAAGAAGGCAAGAAAGAATACCAAAAAAGTTAGGGTTAACCTGAAGGGGAGCCAAATTCAACACCGACAGGACCCGAAGGTAAAAAGGGTTAAGGGGAAATCAAAAGGCAGGAAAATGTAAAGCCGAGAAGAGTGTCTCGCCTTCCTTCAAACCCTCGCCGGTGCTAAAATTTAGATTATGATCATATGCCTCAAGGGTTACATTTGAACGGACACGATTCTTCTTTCTCAATTGTGCATTAGAGAAAGATTTCCTCTCAACATCACCACTTGAACTCACTGCCGGCATCACCGACTCAAAGTTAGACGCACAAGCACTATGGGTTCGTTCACTACTCGCTTGACTCATAATGATGGAAATAAAGTGAGAAAGTGACTAACCTTAGCAAACGAGAGGAAGGTTATGCAGCGGTGAAAAAAACTCTTGCTTGGAATCAAGAACGAAACTACAGAGGAAAATACCCAAGTAACAAGGTCACAACATATATGGACAGGATGAAGCAGATAACGAAGAGGCAAACACGAGACCCCAAAAATAGGGACACGAATGGTAATGATAGGTAGTAATGGCCGCAAGAACTTATCCACTTTCCAAAAAGCAGTTACGATTCCATATATGAATCAAATTCGTAAAATGAATCGAGGGCAAAGTGTGGAGGGAAAAGTCCCAACCAATCATAATACACCACATGGCAACAAAAAGTAGTCCATTACTAAACCAAAGAAAAGTACCCAGAAGCCCACCATCAGTTGGAGGCCCAATAATAGAAACCAAACACACATGTCAACTCAGCCTAATTAGACAAAAGAAGCTCCGCTTGGCATAAAAACCGATGAATAGCCCAATCTCGGTAGGCCCATAAGTCCATAATGCTTGAAATAAAAGAAATATGCACACGATCAGCAAGCGTAAATACCCACATCTGGGAATAAAGCCATAAAACGGCTCCATGTAATTCTCTGAACAAAGCCTATAAATAGAGCATGAATGAGAATGAAAAAGATCATCGAATTCCCTTAATTGTTCCTCTCTTCGAAATTTGTTTATTGCTCCATCTATATTTTGTGTATTTCCTCTGATTTATTTCTTCAAGTGTTCGGGTGTGAGAAATTGCACCTATAGCATGTAAAGGCATACAAAAGGTATTAGACTCTCAAAACTTGAAACGTGCAATTCTATGGAACTTAAGCTTCAAAAGATCAAAATTGTAGCCCAAATCACTCTCACTTCACATATACATAAGAATAAAGTGTCCAACAAAGCCATCTTACCCCCAAACTTAATATGTGCATTGTCCTCAATGTACTAAGAGAACGATAAAAAAAAAGTGAAAAGAGTATACCAAAATGGCATAGCCTACTGAACCCGGCAATAGAATGCTTAATCGAAAGGAAGAAATACCCTCAAACTTAGATTTTACAACCTGCCTGAAATACCACACTAGCAATTATCATATCACATGCATAACACTGATAGCATATGAAAGTGAGAAGGATAGGGAAAGAATCCATATAGTAGCATTATTTGAGAGAATAGAGGAGATTGGTGACTTGATAAACCAATATGGGCAAGCATATATATATAAAAATCAAAATCCTAATCATAACAAAATATATCCAAATCACAAAAATCCCTAAAAATGAGCAGCCGACAGAGGCTGCGAATAAACAAAGTATCAAAAATGTCTACAAAACAACATAGTCAAATGTAATGAATGATAAGAGTGAAGATAAATAATGGAGTCCTCGCCGGTGCTGGTGGTGCGATATGGTCTCGCAAGAAGAGTGTAATATCCTACATCATAGTGCCAACTTCCTCACAAAAGTTAGCAATGGAATGTCTCATCTCACTGCGGAAGTCAACCATCTCTCGCTAGATGTTTTCTACCTCCCTCCTCACCTCAGCTCGAAAACCAACAAACTCTATCTGGAGCTGCGCCACTGTCTCCTAAAGCTGAGTGAGATTAGCCTGTACAGTAGTGTCTAAACTAGAAGGAATAGATAGTTGCTGCTGAGATAGTGGAATGGATGGTGTGCCCTATTGGTGAGTAGATGAAAAGGGTTGATGCTGATGTTGTTGTCTGGACTTGGTGGCTGAAGAAGATAGAGTGTCCCCTGGTCAAAACAATGGACTGAACTTCTTCTTGGCCTTCGCAGGCACCTCTCTGCTCTTAAGTAAAGCCTCACAACTCTTGGTTCATCGCCAGCATGGTATCTGGAAGAGAGTGGTAATGATAGCTCCTCGGGATCAAAGGGGTACTGGTGATCTTTTAGAATTTGGGATATCAAGTGGCAGTATGGCAAGCTCCAGGCTTTCGCCTTATCATTGTGTCCCATCATAAGCTGGTCCAATACTTGTAGAAGATACTCTAGATCAATGCAAGAACTGAGAACTAATGATTGGAATGGACTGAATAGAGGGTAGTCAAATACTCCAGTCGCCGCTCTGTCTGGTCGAAGTAAAAAACATTGTGGAACAAAATTGTATCCATGAACCAAAGATGCTCGGGAAGGTTGACCCGCGAAGCATAGGTAGAATAGACTCGTGACATGGATGGACAGAGAGATGATATCATGTCCTACACTGAATGAGGCTCCAAGAGTGGAGGATAGATAGTCTGTTCTATATAGACGACCTTAGGGGGCTCATATGGTCCCCGACAGGCTATCTCGACAGTCTTGGTAGTAATGGAGATAGGGTGTCCATCAATGGAAGTATGCAGCCTACTATGATCAGTGTCATCCAGGCAAAGGTTCTAGTAAAAGAGAGCAACTAGTCGCGGATAATAAAGATCAAGTATCGGCTTAAGAATTGTAATGAGACCCCAACTAACTATCTGATCATTAGACCACTTAGTTTGGTCCCACTTGGCAAAGCAATTGGCATCAAACTTGGTCTCTAGAGCCAAGTCCTTGATCATGAAGATGGGAGATGGAGTCTCTCGGATGATAGGAGTAAGAGGCTCGGTATCCATAGTCTCAGAATTCGACAGATTCTGAGAAGATGATGATGAAGCAACCTGAGAAGGATCAGGAGAATCCACCCTCTATGGTGAAGGGGTAAGATCAGCACGGGGGATGACATTTCTCCCCTTATGAGCTACTGTCCTTTTTTTAGGCATAATCTGCAAAGACAACACTTTGGATGTAAATGCACAACTCTGGAAATATAGACAAGAATTGAGAAGAAAGCACTAAACATGTCGACATCAAATAAGATAAGAGAAGATGTAAGAATGAGCATGCTTGTGTAAGAAATTATCAAAATAAGTCTTCAAGTGCATTATTCAAACCATTCATGACAGATGAGAAGTATAAACAAGATTAATTTTTGCAAATATAGATCATGGTAACCTTAACAAGCCTTATCATGCAAGAATGTGGTTTGGGTTGCAAAGAAATGACCACAAAGTTTATATTTTGAATTTCATGATGAATGAGGTCAATGTGACATAATTAAGCAGTGATGTGTAAACGACATGCAATTTGAGCTCACAAAACCTAGAACCTTTGAGAGTCTAAATTTTTTAGATTTTTAGGCTATAGTTGATGATATTTATCAATCCCTAAACAAAAATGTCTACATATGCAAGAATGAGATCCAATGGAGATAAAAAGTGAGACAGTGCAAGCAAAGTCATGGTATATGTTCAACAAGGAATCAAATAAGGCATGTGACATGAGTGAAGCAAATGAGTGAGTGCAGAGCAATGTTAACTACATCTAAATTTCCTAAACAATGAGTGATGCAGAATCCCTTATATGGTTCATAAACATGAAATGCAACATGTGTAACATTTAGGAAAGACATGACAATTTTAGCTAAAACTTCATCCGCAACAATCCTATTCTCCAATTATTCATCACAATCCACATTTTTGGTCACTTAAAGGCATGTGATCCCTTATACACCGTGGTGTGTCGTCGGACCAAAGCCTAAAATGTGCTAAGAATGTGAATGTGCAATGTGGCCAAGTTTTAAATTTATAAATGCCACTACTACCTCTAACTAAAAATATAGTTAGGGTGAGTAGGGATCGTCCCAAGAGATTGTAGGTGTGTTTCCAATGGAAACAATAAATAGGGTTAGTAGGTCGAGTGATCAAAAGATGATTTGTTTGGTTGATTAAACTACAATGCAATTGAAATTAAAGCAAGTAAAAGGTAACAATTTAGAAAGTAGGGAAAAAGATATAGAGGAGAGAACTTGGGGTACTAGAGCTCACCACTAAACTTGACTTCACTAGACACTAGCAATTGTATATCAATGAGGAAATTGAATTGTAACTTGTGTGTGTGTGACATTAATTGAAACTAGGCATGGATGACAAATAAGTATAGATTGTCTAGCCAATTCAAATGTAAAGCACAACCTATCAAATGAGACCAAAATCCATTCAATGAAACCACAATTTATGCACACACAACTATCTAAAAACATATACCCTTTGCATTCATAAGTATGGAACACCAAGGAACAAGAATAGATTGTCCACCTATCTATGAATCTAAAGCAACCACACTACATCTACACTAAAGACATGGAAATTAAACTAAGTAAGCTAAATGTGTGGCACAATCCATCAAGAAACAAGTGTGAACCATCAAATAAATTACAAGAGTGTTCAATTAAGCACTATGTTTTGATCATCACTAGATTAACTTTATCTATACAAATAGACATGCATAAATTCCATTAAATCTAGAGAAAAACACATGAATCATCCATTCTAGCATACATAGACATATGATTAAAAATAGATAATCAATTGAAAGCATTAATTCATACACATCAAGTAGAAACCACAAGATATATATATATATATATATATATATATATATAAATTTAAGATCAAAACATTTATTACAAGTAAATCCCCAAAAATATACAAAACACTAGGTCTAGGAAGCAAACTTAGGGGCTACTCTCGCCCCAAGTAGATGTCTAGCCACTCATTGAAGTAGTCATCCAACCCTCAAGGGCTATCTCTATGGTAGGAATGACCTCCTTCTTGATGAAAACCCTAGAAGAATGGAAGAACTCCCAAAATGTGTAAAGATCTCTGTAGTCTCTAGCCTCCTCTCCAAGATATGTGATATGAGATGTGTAAGTATGATGAATGTTGATGAAATTATGCTCTTAAAATGCTCTAAATCCTTATATAGAAGGCTCAAGTGTCACACCCAATGGTCTGGACTTGTGCACTAAAGTCCTTGCAATGATTGCACCATGAGCCATCTTTTAATGAGCTGGACTCTGTTTTATTTCGGACTTGAGGAGGTTCGATCGATCGAACTTTGGTGAGATCGATTGAACTTAGGTGAGATCGATCAAATGCTGTAGAGATCAATCATCCTTGGCGGTGCCTTTTTGAATGAAGACAAATCTCTGAGATGTTTTGGGATATTTTGGGAAAAAGACAAAAGTGGTAGGTGCGGTGGTAGGTGAGGATAAGATCAAACAATTTCGATTGATCTGAGAAAAGCTGGATCAATTGAAGATGGTGGAATCTTTTGGATAAGGACAAAGGCTTGGATCTATCTTGAAATGTCTAGATCGATCAATGTGAGATCGATCGAAGAATTATTGAGATTGATCGAACTTGCTATTTTTCCACACTTTGCTTCCACTTTGCTCCTTTCTTCCATTCAGCTTGAGATTGCTTCTTTTAAGCTCTTATTTTGCTGAATTAACTTATTTTTGGTATAAACACCTGAAAGGGTAGTAACATGAAATTAGTATAAGATGGGAAAATAAGATAGATAAAGGTCATAGAATACCCAAGCTTAAGGAGTTTAAATGCGTACTTTTCAGCGCTCATCACATCACAAAGAATTAAAAATTGGTTACTTAAAGCATGTTTGCATAGGTAAAAGCTTGAAATGGCAAGAATGAGAGTTAGTGAACAATCTTACAATTTCCATCAACTTGTTTGATTTTTTAAAGCAAATGTGCCAAATTGGAGTTAACACGCATATAGTAAATTGCATTATCACAATACAATGGGAGCTTGGTAATAAAAATCTCAACAAGTTCAACAAAACTTAACTCTATCACAATTTCACCAATATTCAATTTCAACAATGAAATACCCACAATTATCTCAACACAAGATAGCAATTTCAACAATGCTCACATTACCTCACATGTTATCCATCATTACAAAACATAGCATATTTGAACATGGACAGAATTTACAACTTTATTCAAGCATTTGAATCTCAATGAAACAAATAAATTGAAACAAACCTCAAAGCATTACAATACTCAAAGTACGCATTCTATTTCAACAACTTGATCTTCAATGTATGTGCATGTGATTATTCATGAGAGAGAATGTTCCAAATTTATAGCTAAGCAACCCAACAATTTGAACTTCACAAAACATTATATCAAATTCATTTTCATAAACACTTCATAAAATAAAAATAAAAATTCAAATTTTCGACACTTTTTCATGTATTTTGCTTTATTCTAATTTCATGCATTTGTTCAACACATTGGGTCACAATCATCGCAATCCCAAAAAAATTTCCAAGTCCCGAATTTCACAATGGCATTCATCAAAAATCTGAATTTGTGGCATCTCACATTCATGCATGTTTTTAACTTCTTTCACTTCAAATTCATGCATTAGTGTCATAGAATACATATAAAGAGATTATAGAATACATATAAAGCACATATAAAGCATGTGAACAAATTCTTCAAAATTCTGAATCAATCAAATATGAAAACATATATGAACACATGTATTAATCAAAGCATTTTCATCTAAAACGACATAGCCCGAATCATTCTATATCATATTAGATGAAAAGATGGAGGAGAGAATTTACCGGAATGAGAGATGAAGAAGTCCGAGAGGTAGAGAGAGAAAACCGCGAGGAGGATGAAGAGGAGAAGTACGGTAGAGGCGATGCTGTTATTTTCGTGCTCAAATCGAGCTTCCAAAGCTTGAGAGGGGATGAAGAAAGGTGGAGGAGGCGCGAGGGAGAAAGAGATTAGCTTAGGGCTTCGGGAAAAATGGAAGAGAATAGGGCCAGAATAGTGTTTTAAAACACACTGCCGCTGCACGATCGATCGTGTTTTGAATAAGATTGATTGTCCTAGCATGATCGATGGAATTTCAGAGGAAATGAGAACAGCACGATTGATCCTGTCTTGAACACGATCAATCGCCAGAGAGCAATAATTGCAGAGCAGCTGTGACTGAGCACATAATCAATGATCGGTCATGGAAATTCATACGATTAATCAACAGAGAGCATATTATAAGACATCTACAGAGAATTTTTCTATACAACCACGATCGATCCTATTTTGCCATACGATCGATCGCCAGAGAACTAGTTTTTAGGATTTTCATAAATTTTTTAAGGCATGAGAAATACAATCATTCCTACCAAAGCACGATCGATCCCCAGATAGCTGATTTTGAAGCATGTGCAGAGAATTTTTCTTATGCAGGCACGATCGATCGCCAGAGAACACATTTTGGGCTTTTTCAGAAAATTTTCTAAGGCATGAGAGACGCGATTGATCATACGGGAATACGATCGATCTTAAGAGACCATGGAAAGTCACTTAAGGCCTGAAAGAGAGAATAAAAGTCAAGAAAACATATCTAACTAATGCAAAAAGGAAAACAGAGGGAAGTGAGGAAGAAATAGAGTTGAAGAACACTATGAAACTAGGTTTAACGTCACTAGATAACGCATTCAACACTTTAGTCAATGTAAATGGGATCCACCAAAGTGGCGGACTCCACATTCCTTTAAAGATCTTGACCCTCTACGCATAACTTCAAGCGTTGGCCCTTAAATTTCATTATTCTTTGATCTTCTAAGTATTTTATCTCAATTGCCCCATGGGGTGAAATGGAGACAAGGTCTATCCCATCTAGAATGAAGCTTTCTGGGAAAGAATTTAAGCTTAGAGTTGAAAAGCCATACCTTTTACCCCGGCTCAAAAGACTATCATTATATGACTATCATGAAATGCTTTTGACCGTGCCTTGTAAATTTTTGAATTTTCAGAGGCATCATTCTTAAGCTCATCCAACTCATTTAATTGGAGCTTTCAGTGTTCTCCGGCCTTGTTAAGATCGAAATTTAACTTTTTGATCGCCCATAATGCTTTATGTTCCAATTTAACCAGAAGAAGATAAGATTTTCTATGGATAAGCCTATAAGAAGATATGCCAATGTGAGTCTTGTAAGTCATCCGATAAGCCCACAATGCATCATTGAGTTTTCTTGACCAATCTTTTCGGTCTGGATTCACCATTTTCTCAAGGATGTGCTTAATTTCCCTATTAGAGACCTCAACTTGACCGCTAGTTCGTGGATGATATGGCGTGGCAACCTTGTGGGTGACGGAGTACTTCAAGAACAATTGTTTCATGAAAAGATTGCAAAAGTGCTTTCCCCCATCACTAATCATTGCCCGAGGCATCCTAAAACGACTTAAGATACTTAATTTAATGAAATTAATAACCACCGAGTGGTCATTCATTTTGGTTGCATTAGTTTCAACCTACTTCGACACATAGTCAACGCAAGGAGGATGTACTCATATTCATAAAACATAGGGAATGGTCCTATAAAATTAATTCCCCACATATCGAAGATCTCTACAATGAGGACTGGAGTCAAGGGTATCATGTCTCTCTTTGACATTGATCCCATTTTCTGACATCGCACACACACTTTGCAAAAATTGTAGGCATCCCTATGGATAGTTGTCCAAAAGACCACTTTGAAGAACCTTGATTACGGTCTTCTTAGCACTGAAATGCCCACCACAAGCAAGAGTGTGGCAGAATAGTAGGACACTTGGAATTTCACTTTCAGGTACACACCACTTAATGATTTGGTCAGGATAATACCGAAACAACATGGGATCCTCCCAATAGTATTTCTAGATGTTAGCAAATAAGTGATCATTCTCTTGCTTTGACCAATTGGTAGGGAGTTTGCCAGTAACAAGGTAGTTCACTATATCGGCGAACCACGACAAATTCCCATTGGAAATGTGAAACAATTGTTCATTGGGGAAAGGTATCATGAATTGGAAGTTCATTGGAAGATTCAATTAACAACTGAGAAATATGATCGGCAACCACATTTTCAGAGCCCTTTTTGTTCTTTATGTCAAAATTAAATTCTTGAAGTAGAAAGATCCATCGAATTAAGCAAGGCTTGGTTTCCCTTTTCAACAAAAGGTGCCTTAGAGCGGCATGGTCGGAAAACATAGTGACCATGGATCCTAAGAGATAAGAACAGAACTTGTTTTGGGCATACACAACTGCTAATAATTCCTTCTCGGTGGTGGAATAGTTCAATTAGGCTCCTGATAAGGTTTTGCTAGCATAGTAAATGGCACATGGAAGTTTGCCTACCTTTGTCCTAAAACTGCCCTCATAGCATAGTTAGATGCCTCACACATTATCTAAAAGGGTTAATACCAATTAAGAGGTTGCTTGATAAGAGCGGTAGAAAGGAGAGAACGGAGCTTGTGGAAGGCATCTAGGCATGCTTTATCAAAGATGAAAGGTGTCTCATTGGCAAGTAAATTACACATGAGTCTAGCAATCTTGCTAAAATTCTTAATAAATCGGCAATAGAACCCGGCATGTTCTAGAAAGGAACGAATCTCTCTCACTGTAAAAGGGGAAAAAGTTCAGAAATGAGTTCCACTTTTGCCTTGTCTACCTCGATACCCCTTTTATATATGACGTGACCTAGCACAATTCCTTCTTGAACTATGAAATGGTTCTTCTCCTAACTTAGCACATGATTTGTCTTTTGACATCTTTCTAGCACAAATGATAAGTGATGAAAGCATGAATCAAAAATAGGCCCAAAGACTGATAAGTCATCTATGAAGGCCACAAGATACTTCTCCACCATGTCCGAAAATATAGACATTATACACCTTTGGAAAATAGCGGGAGCATTGCACAATCCAAAAGGCATCCGTCGATATGCAAATGTACCGAATGGACATGTGAAGGTAGTTTTTTCTTGATCAAGAGGGTCAAGGGCTACTTGATTACACCCAGAATAGCCATCTAGGAAGCAATAGTAGCTTTGCCCGGCTAATCACTCTAAGATTTGGTCAATGAAGGGCAAAGAAAAATGGTCTTTCCTAGTGGCGGAGTTGAGCTTTCAGTAATCAATGCACACACGCAATGAGGTGGTTGTGCGTTTAGTAATTAGTTCTCCCTTGGAGCTCTGAACAACGGGAATCCTGACTTCTTGGGAACTATTTGGGTAGGACTCACCCATTTGCTATCGGAGATATGATAGATAATCCCGGCATCCAATAGTTTCACTACCTCCTTCTCCACCACTTCTTTTATATTTGGGATTAATCTCCTTTGAGCATCTCTAAAGGGTTTTTCATCCTCTTCCATATGAATGCGATGCATACACATGGAAGGATCTATACCCTTTAAGTAGGCAACACTCCATCCAATTGCTTGCTTTTTCTCTTTAAGTACCTCCAAAAGATTCTCCTCTTAGTTATTTTCAAGATTAGAAGCAATGATGACCGAAAGAGTTTCATTTGGGCCAAGATCGGCATACTTGAGATTTGATGGGAGTGGTTTAAGCTCTAGAGTAGGTGGAGGGATTAAAGAGGGAACCAGAGGAGGATTTGAGAGAGGAGGGAAGGGCCCTTTTGGAGTTTTCCATAGAGGATAATCCATCAATGCGATGGTATCCATAAGAGCATTCACTTCACAAATGAAGCTATCAATATGGAAATCATCCATGTTGAAGTGAGTAATACATCCTTCTAAGGGGTCATTTGAGAGAATAAAGAGGAGAGATTATTACACAAGAACATCCAATACATCGACTAGGAAACATTCGCCTTTATCTATGGGATATTGGCTTACATTGAACACATTAAGCTTGACCATCATGTTGCCAAATGAGATGTTCATGATGCACGACCTATAATTAATTGTGGCATTGGCGGTGGCAAGGAATGGTCGACCTAGAATAATTGGGATATGATTAGTGGGATTGGGCACTGGTTCAGTGTCAAGAACTACAAAATCAGCTGGGAAGTAGAATTTGTCGACTTTGATAAGGATATCCTCAATAATTCCCCTAGGTCGTTTTATAGACCTATCAGCAAGTTAAAGAACTACCGATGTAGGCTAAGATCACCTAAACCTAATTGACAATAAACTGAGTAAGGTATAAGGTTAACACTCGCTCCTTTGTCCAAAAGAGCCCTGTAAACTTCATGGTTCCTAATAACACAAGAAATGGTGGGAGTACCGGGATCCTTAAACTTAAGAGGAGTGTTATGCTTGATGATAAAGCTTATTTGCTCGGTAAGAAGCACCTTCTTTAGAGCTTGACTCTTTGACTTCCTCTTTTGAGTACATAAGTCCTTCAAGAACTTGGCATATGGTGGAATTTGATGAATTGCATCAAGAAGAGGAAGTTTGATTTTCACCTGCTTAAAGACTTCCATCATATCATGAATTTTTCCTTGTTATCTCCCAAAAGGAGAAGAATCCTTTAAAGCTTGAGGAAATGGAGCTCTAGGCTCATATGGCTTCTCTAATGGAGAGGGAGAAGATAATGGAATGTCCTTGATATGATCACTTTCTTTCGGTGATGTAGGAATAGATTTTGGAATGGGTAGTGGACAACCATTTGGTTACACCAGATCACTCACTTCACTCATTGGCATTTTAACCTTATTGTCAACTACTCTACCACTTCTCAAGGTGGTTATGGCTTGGACTTGCTCATGGCCGGAAAATCCCGATGTAGGATTTGATTCCACTATGTAATGTGTTTTTATGTTTGGCTCGGGTTGACAAGGCAATTTTTTCTTTTCTCTTGCATTCATAGAATTTGTAATTTGCCCGGTTTGGGATTCAAGTTTTGCAATTGATTGGGAATGGGAGTGAAGCAATTATGTGTTTGCCTCGACGTTACCCAAAGCAACAAAAACCTTGTCCTCAAAGGTAGAGTTCCTTTGAGGTGCTTAAGATTCATGAGAGTACGATTGAGGAGTTGGAGCTTGATGACTTGGATTAGAAGAGTGACCTACATTTTGATGATGAGAGTACGGTGGAGGATGATAAGCATAAGCTTGAGAATTTTAAAGATGGGGAGCAATATACTTTTCTTGAGGAGGGTTTACACTTGCTCCCTGATTTCTCCAAGAGAAATTTAGATGATCTCTCAATCCGGGATTGTAAGTGTTGGAGTAAGTATTATGTCCCCAAAAAGTAAAAGTAGTGTTATCTTGCTCTTGAGGCTCATTCGGGGTAGCATGTCTATGCATGTTTCATTTTGAGCTTGGGGAGGAGAGGATGAGTGACTTACCGAATTTTAACTCGAAATGAATTAATCAAACCTTTAAGTATGACTCTTAACCTCGGCGGCAATTGCCATAGAATTATCTACATGACATAGATTTTTAGTTTTTTTCCCTTTACCATAGAAACACGGCCCAACCAAAAAGATGTAGAACGGTGCATGGAGTTTTCACTCATATTCTCAAAAAGAGTCCATAGATCATCTTTGTGCTTAAGCAAAAATGTACTCCACATGAAGCATCCATAATTTGCTTATAAGTGTCGGATAAGCTCTCATAGAAACATTAGACAAGTTTCCACTTTGGAAGGTCATGGTGTGGACACTTCCATAGCAAATCATTCAATCTTCCCTAAGCTTCATGTAATGGCTCTCCATCACCTTGAGAAAACCCTCGAATAGCTGTTCTCATTTGATTAGTCTTACT